GCCACCGTCACATCCATAGCCACCACCTCCACCGCAGCCACACCCGCCGCCAACGCCACACCCGCTTACGCCAACTCCAACGCCGCCAGGTAAATGCCACCACACACGTCACCAATGCCACCGCACCTCCCGCAGCCGCCACACCCGCCGCCAACGCCACACCCGCCATGGTCGCCGCCACCGTCACCGCCACCGTCACATCCATAGCCACCACCTCCACCGCAGCCACACCCGCCGCCAACACCACACCCGCCAACGCCAACTCCAACGCCGCCAGGCATATGCCACCACACCCGTCACCAATGCCACCGCACCTCCCGCAGCCGCCACACCCGCCGCCAACGCCACACCCGCCATGGTCGCCGCCACCGTCACCGCCACCGTCACATCCATAGCCACCACCTCCACCGCAGCCACACCCGCCGCCAACACCACACCCGCCAACGCCAACTCCAACGCCGCCAGGCATATGCAACCACTCCCGTCACCAATGCCACCGCACCACCCGCAGCCGCCACACCCGCCGCCAACGCCACACCCGCCACCGGCACCGGCACCGCTGCCTCCACAACCGCTACCACGGCCATCGCAGACACACCCGCCGCCAACGCCACACCTACCGACACCGCAGCGACACCTGCCGCAGCCGCCACCGCCGCCACATCCGACACAACTGCCACAACCTACGCAACCGCAACACCCGCCAACGCCCATGCCAAATCGTAAGCCAACGCATCCATCACCGGCGCCGCCACAAACGTCACCCCCGCACCGTCGCCACTCGAAGCGACATGTGGGGGATCGAAGTGACTCGATGGACAGGTGGAGAAGAGGACGACAGCTCCGCCGGCGGCTGCATCACCAGAGGCGACGCCGCCGCCGCTGTTGCCGCATTTGCGGCACTCGAATGACAAGTGGGAAGGAAGTGACTCGAAGTGACTCGATGGACAGGTGGAGAAGAGGACGACAGCTCCGCCGGCGGCTGCATCACCAGAGGCGACGCCGCCGCCGCTGTTGCCGCATTTGCGGCACTCGAATGACAAGTGGGAAGGAAGTGACTCGAAGTGACTCGATGGACAGGTGGAGAAGAGGACGACAGCTCCGCCGGCGGCTGCATCACCAGAGGCGACGCCGCCGCCGCTGTTGCCGCATTTGCGGCACTCGAATGACAAGTGGGAAGGAAGTGACTCGAAGTGACTCGATGGACAGGTGGAGAAGAGGACGACAGCTCCGCCGGCGGCTGCATCACCAGAGGCGACGCCGCCGCCGCTGTTGCCGCATTTGCGGCACTCGAATGACAAGTGGGAAGGAAGTGACTCGAAGTGACTCGATGGACAGGTGGAGAAGAGGACGACAGCTCCGCCGGCGGCTGCATCACCAGAGGCGACGCCGCCGCCGCTGTTGCCGCATTTGCGGCACTCGAATGACAAGTGGGAAGGAAGTGACTCGAAGTGACTCGATGGACAGGTGGAGAAGAGGACGACAGCTCCGCCGGCGGCTGCATCACCAGAGGCGACGCCGCCGCCGCTGTTGCCGCATTTGCGGCACTCGAATGACAAGTGGGAAGGAAGTGACTCGAAGTGACTCGATGGACAGGTGGAGAAGAGGACGACAGCTCCGCCGGCGGCTGCATCACCAGAGGCGACGCCGCCGCCGCTGTTGCCGCATTTGCGGCACTCGAATGACAAGTGGGAAGGAAGTGACTCGAAGTGACTCGATGGACAGGTGGAGAAGAGGACGACAGCTCCGCCGGGGGCTGCATCACCAGAGGCGACGCCGCCGCCGCTGTTGCCGCATTTGCGGCACTCGAATGACAAGTGGGAAGGAAGTGACTCGAAGTGACTCGATGGACAGGTGGAGAAGAGGACGACAGCTCCGCCGGGGGCTGCATCACCAGAGGCGACGCCGCCGCCGCTGTTGCCGCATTTGCGGCACTCGAATGACAAGTGGGAAGGAAGTGACTCGAAGTGACTCGATGGACAGGTGGAGAAGAGGACGACAGCTCCGCCGGCGGCTGCATCACCAGAGGCGACGCCGCCGCCGCTGTTGCCGCATTTGCGGCACTCGAATGACAAGTGGGAAGGAAGTGACTCGAAGTGACTCGGTGGACAGGTGGAGAAGAGGACGGCAGCTCCGCCGGCGGCTGCATCACCAGAGGCGACGCCGCCGCCGCTGTTGCCGCATTTGGCGGCACTCGAATGACAAGTGGGAAGGAAGTGACTCATAGTGACTCGATGGACAGGTGGAGAAGAGGACGGCAGCTCCGCCGGCGGCTGCATCACCAGAGGCGACGCCGCCGCCGCTGTTGCCGCATTTGCGGCACTCGAATGACAAGTGGGAAGGAAGTGACTCGAAGTGACTCGATGGACAGGTGGAGAAGAGGACGACAGCTCCGCCGGCGGCTGCATCACCAGAGGCGACGCCGCCGCCGCTGTTGCCGCATTTGCGGCACTCGAATGACAAGTGGGAAGGAAGTGACTCGA